GGGTGTTCCTGGGGGATGTGGGGATGCAGGGATATGGGGGCTGGTCCTGCCTCCAGAGCCAAGAGCTCCGGTGGTTCCGGGAGTTATTAACGAGTCGTCGCTCGGCGAGCGAAGGGATTTGGGGGAACGCCCATCCCGCATTCCCGACAAAACCCTCCTTTCCCAGAGGACCAACATCCACATCAACGACAACGTCCTGCACTCGGCCCACGAGATGGGGGTGGAGAAGGTGGTCTCCTGCCTCTCCACCTGCATCTTCCCGGACAAGACCACCTATCCCATCGACGAGACCACGGTGAGTGTTCCTGTCCCCCTCCCGCGGCATTCCGGGAATTCCTGCCTGACTCTCCGCTCCCCGGTTCCCAGATCCACAACGGGCCCCCACAGCTCCAACTTTGGCTACTCCTACGCCAAGAGGATGATTGACATCCAGAATAGGTGAGGGACACACACAGGAGACCCTTCCCAGGGTGGGAGCACTCCCTTGGTTATCAGGGCGATGGAAATCCCCGTGGGAGGGTGAGGAGGGTGGATGAGGAAGGAGGGTGATGAAACGCTGGCTCAGGGTGTCCAGGGAAGTGATCCAAGGTCAGGTTGGATGGGCCTTGGAGCAACTAGGATAGTGGGAGGTGTCTCCTCGCACGGTGGTTGGGTGAGATGACCTGAAGGAGTTCCTTTCCAGCCCAAGCCATTCCATGATTCTATGCCTGAAATCCATTCCCAAATCCCTACACCCGGCCCGTGATTCTGTGACCAAAATCTGTCCCCAAATCCTCAAGCGCATCCCATGATTTTACAACCAAAATCCAGTCCCAATCCCCAAACCCATCCCATGATGCTATGGCCAAAATCCAGTCCCATTCCCAATCCCATCCCATGATTCCATGACCAAAATCCAGTCCCAAATCCATCCCATGATTCTATGACCAAAATCTGTCCCCAAATCCTCAAGCCCATTCCATTATTTTACAACCAAAATCCATTCCCAATCCCCAAACTCACCCCATGATTCTGGGAACAAAATCCATTCCCAAATCCCCAAACCCATCCTATGATGCTATGGCCAAAATCCAGTCCCATTCCCAATCCCATCCAATGACTCCATGGCCAAAATCCAGTCCCAAATCCATCCCATGATTCTATGACCAAAATCTGTCCCCAAATCCTCAAGCACATCCCATGATTTTACAACCCTAATCCATTCCCAGTCCCCAAATCCATCCTGAGATTCTGGGAACAAAATCCATTCCCAGATCCCCAAATCAATCCCGTGATTCTATGACCAAACTCTGTCTCCAAATCCTCAAGCACATCCCATGATTTTACAACCAAAATCCATTCTCAATCCCCAAATCCATCCCATGATTGATACCAAAATCCATTCCCAAATCCCCAAATGCATCCCATGACTCCATGACCAAAATCCAGTCCCAAATCCATCCCATAATTCTATGACCAAACTCTGTCCCCAAATCCTCAAGCACATCCCATGATTTTACAACCCAAATCCAGTCCCAATCCCATGACTCCATGACCAAAATCCATCCCAAATCCCATCCCGTGATTTTAGGACCAAAATCCATTCCCAAATCCCCAAATGCATCCCATGACTCCATGACCAAAATCCATCCCAAATCCCATCCCGTGATTTTAGGACCATTCCCAGTCCCCACAAACCCCAGGATTCTGTGACCAAAACTGACCAATCTGTGACCCGTGGGATTCCCGGGATTTCAACGGCGCTGGGGTGGAAGCCGGGGGGATAGCTGGGATCAGCAGGTGGAGGTGCTGCTGGCTGGGCTCTTCTGGGGCCATCCCAATCCCTGAGACCCCCCATCCCTGCTCCCAATCCAGGGGTTATTCTGAGCAGCACGGCCGGCGCTTCACCGCCGTCATCCCCACCAACGTCTTCGGGCCGCACGACAACTTCAACATCGACGACGGCCACGTCCTGCCAGGCCTCATCCACAAGGTCCACCTGGCCAAACGTGAGCCTGGCAGGACTCCTGGGGGGTTTTTTTATTTTTTGGAGAGGGGGGGGTTTCCTCCTCCCCACCTGCTCCGTGAGGTGGTGATGGACGTGCTCCTTCCTCCTGCAGAGTCCGGCTCCGCCCTGACCGTGTGGGGAACGGGAAAGCCCAGGAGACAGTTCATCTACTCCCTGGTGTGTGGGGCCTTGGGAAGCTGGGAATGGGGCTGGAAAGGCTGGAATGGGACCCCAGAAGGACCTGAGTCCTCCTGGTTTGTCCTGGGCCATTCCTTGGGGTTGGGTTCCCTTGGGATGGGAGGGCAGGAAACATTCCAACATCTACTCCCTGGGGTGTGGGGCTTTGGGAAACTGGGAATGGGGCTGGAAAGGCTGGAATGGGACCCCAGAGGGGGCTGAGCCTACCTGTCTTGTCCTGGGTCGGGTTCCTCGGGATGGGAATGCCGGGAACAGCAGTGACCCCCTCAAGGGTCGCGTGCTCTCCCACAGGACCTGGCCCGGCTCATCCTGTGGGTCCTGCGGGAATATGACGAGGTGGAGCCCATCATTCTGTCAGGTGAGCCCTCCCAGACTCCCCCCACCCCACTCCATCCATCCCCTCTCCACGAGGGCCCAGCCACGATCCCGCCCTGCTCCGCAGTGGGAGAAGAAGATGAGGTGTCCATCCGGGAGGCGGCGGAGGCCGTGGCCGAGGCCATGGATTTCAGGGGAGAGCTGGTTGTATCCTTCACCCAGGGGGACATCCCGTGCTCCAGAGCATCCCACCAGGATGGGGGGGGGAAGAAACCAACCCCAGTTTTCCCTCCTTAATCCCTCCCCACCCCAGTTTGACCCCAGCAAGGCGGACGGGCAGTTCAAGAAGACGGCCAGCAACGCCAAACTGCGGCGGTACCTGCCCGGCTTCCAGTTCACTCCCTTCAGGAAAGGTGAGCTCCTGCCTCTGGGGGCATCTGGGTGCTCCATCCTATGGGGTGAGGAAGGAGGGTGGTGCAAAGCTGGCTCAGGGTGTCCAGGGAAGTGTTCCGAGGTCAGGTTGGATGAGCCTTGGAGCAACTGGGATAGTGGGAGGTGTCTCCTTGCACGGTGGTTGGGTGAGGTGACCTGAAAGAGTTCCTTCCAGCCCAAGCCATTCCATGATTCTATCCCTGAAATCCATTCCCAAATCCCTACACCCAGCCCGTGATTCTGTGACCAAAATCTGTCCCCAAATCCTCAAGCCCATCCCATGATTTTACAACCAAAATCCATTCCCAATCCCCAAATCCATCCCATGATTCTGGGAACAAAATCCATTCCCAAATCCCCAAACCCATCCCATGATTCCATGACCAAAATCCAGTCCCATTCCCAATCCATCCCTTGATTCCATGACCAAAATCCATTCCCAAATCTCCAAACCCATCCTATGATGCTATGACCAAAATCCAGTCCCAGTCCCAATCCCATCCCATGATTCCATGACCAAAATCCATTCCCAAATCCATCCCATGATTCTATGACCAAACTCTGTCCCCAAATCCTCAAACCCATCCCATGATTTTACAACCAAAATCCATTCCCAATCCCCAAATCCATCCCGTGATTCTGACCAAAATCCACTCCCAAATCCCCAAATCCATCCCATGATTCTGTGACCAAAATCCATCCCAAATCCCATCCTGTGATTTTAGGACCAAAATCCATTTCCCAGTCCCCAAATCCATCCCATGATTCCATGACCAAAATCCACTCCCAAATTCCCAAATCCATCCCATGATTCTAGGACCAAAATCCATTTCCCAATCCCCAAACCCCAGGATTCCATGACCAAAATCCATCCCCAAATCCATCCCATGATTCTATGACCAAAATCTGTCCCCAAATCCTCAAACCCATCCCATGATTTTACAACCAAAATCCAGTCCCAATTCCCAAATCCCTCCCGTGATTTTACAACCAAAATCCATTCCCAAATCCCCAAACCCATCCTATTTTACAACCCAAAACCCATTCCCAATCCCATCCCATGATTCCATGACCAAAATCCATTCCCAAATCCATCCCATGATTCTGTGACCAAAATCTGTCCCCAAATCCCCAAACCCACCCCATGATTTCCTGACCAAAATCCAGTCCCAATCCCCAAATCCATCCCGTGATTCTGTGACCAAAATCTGTCCCCAAATCCTCAAACCCACCCCATGATTTCCTGACCAAAACCCACTCCCAAATCCCCAAACCCATCCCATGATTCTATGACCAAAATCCATCCCCAAATCCATCCCATGATTCTATGACCAAAATCTGTCCCCAAATCCTCAAACCCATCCTGTGATTCCACGGCCGAAACCCATTCCCAAACCCCTCCCATGATTTTACAACCCAAATCCAGTCCCAATCCCCAAACTCGCCCCATGATTCTGGGAACAAAATCCATTCCCAAATCCCTCCCATGATTTTACAACCAAAATCCCTTCCCAAATCCCCAAATCCATCCCGTTTTACGACCCAAAACCCATTCCCAATCCCACCGTCTCCCTCCCCAGCCGTGAAGGAAACCTGTGCCTGGTTCGACGCCAACTACGCCGACGCCAGGAAGTGACGGCCCCGGCATCGCCGGGATCCTCCTCTTCCAACTCAGGGTTGTCCTTTGCTGGGGCAGAGGATGGGGCTGAGGGGGGTGACAGGGATAATTCCAAAGGAAAAAAAAACAGGGAGCCCAGGGAGCAGCTCCCACATTCCTGCCCCGTGCCGGGAGCGGCGCGGGACGCCCGGGGCAAGGAGGGGCAGGAAGGTCGGGGCATCCCAAAGGGATCCCGAATTAGAGGGTAGGAAGGAGCCACCGTGGTGGTGGTGGTGGTGGCCGAGAGGCTGGTGAGCTGTTAATGAGCTGTGTTAATTACCTGTAATTAGGCCTAGTAACGGGAAGGGCATTGGGATTCCACGGCACAAGGGACAGGGATTCGCTGTTGGCTCTTGGCACGTGGGGATGATCCCACGGGATAAAAGGGGGCCAGAGTGGGGAAAGACTCCAGCTGGAAACGTGGCGTTTATTAAAATATATGCAAATCACCAAATATATGCAAATCACCTAAAATTGGTGGGATGAGGAGCTTCTGCCCCCAAACCCCCTCCATGAGTTCTCCTGGAAGAGCCCAAAAAAAAATGGAGATCCAACCCCTCAGGGAAGGGGTGGAGGGTCAAAATGAGGGGATGAATCCATGGCTGAGCTGCTGCTGGAGGCGTGGATGTGGCACAAATCCTTCCCGGGAATTCCCTTCTTCCGGCATCGCTGCCCGGCCCTGGTGAGTGCCCAGCACGGGGAGCGTGGGGACAACGGGGCCCTGCAGAGGAGATGCCAGTCAGGACCCCCAGGAGGCCACCAGGCAGGCTGAGGTGACACCAAGCCCCGGGAAGGGACGGCCTGGGTGCTCGGAGCTCACGTGGTGGCCCTCGGGATGAAGGGTTTGGGCTCCCGGCGCTTCCCGGTGTCCGTGAGCGGCTCCGGCATCGCCTGGTGGGGAAGAAGGGGTTAAAGAGTCCTTTCCGATCCATGCCGTGATTCTGTGGCCAAAATCCATTCCAAAATCCCCAAACCCATCCCCAAATCCCCAAACCCATCCTGTGATTCTGTGACCAAAATCCATTCCCAAATCCCCAAACCCATCCCGTGATTCTGTGGTCAAAATCCATCCCCAAATCCCCAAATCCATCCCGTGATTCCCTGACCAAAATCAATTCCCAAATCCCCAAACCCATCCCGTGATTCCAAGACCAAAATCCCTTCCCAAATCCCCAAACCCATCCTGTGATTCCCTGACCAAATTCCATTCCCAAATCCCCAAACCCATCCCAGGATTCCCTGACCAAATTCCATTCCCCAAATCCATCCCAGGATTCCATAACCAAAATCCATTCCCAAAACCATCCCAGGATTCCCTGACCAAAATCCATTCCCAAATCCCCAAACCCACCCCATGATTTTACAGCCAAAATCCATCCCCAAATCCATTCCAGGATTCCCTGGCCAAAATCCATTCCCAAATCCCCAAACCCATCCCGTGATTCCGTGACCAAATTCCATTCCCCAAACCCATCCCAGGATTCCCTGACCAAAATCCATTCCCAAAACCATCCCATGATTCCCTGACCAAAATCCATTCCCAAATCCCCGAACCCACCCCATGATTTCACAACCAAAATCCATTCCCCAATCCAATCCCACGACTCCATGACCAAAACCCCTTCCGAAGGAGCAGGTTTTTTGGGGGGGACAACCCCACCCTGGGGACATCCCATGGGGCACTCACCCCACCCGAGCTCCGCCTCGTCCTCCGGCCACCAGGAATGGGTGACTCCCATCCTATGGAGCCAGGAACGTCCCCAGCCACCTCCTGGGGCTGCTCCGGCTCCGAGGGCTCTGGAAAAATATGGAGACACCTTCCCAGTGCTCCTGGCACAGGTTGGGGACACTCTGGGATGACAGATGTCCCAGCACTGGATGGGGACACGCCAGGGCTTGGGATCCGCGTCCTGGATCACCACAAATTCCCACTCACCTCGCACGCAGCTCATCTGCAGCCTGTCCAGCTCCTCCTGCAGCAGCTCCAGGTCCCATTCCCTGCGTGGGAAGATGGAAAATCAGCTCCTGTGTCACTGCCACCACGGTCCACGAGCAGCTCTCCGGCCTCTTCTCCGAGCAGGAACAGGGCAGGGAGCTGGCAGGAGGTGCCCAAAATCCGTAGGAAAGCTATCAAGATGTCCATCAAGATGTTTGTCCTGTCCCTTCCTGGGAATCTCTACCAGGTGGCTCCAGGATGGAACATCCAGGAGGGGACACCCAGGGTGGAACATCCAGGAGGGGACACCCAGGGTGGGACATCCAGGAGGGGACACCCAAGCAGAAAGAGGTGCCCAAAATCCATAGGAAAGCCATCAAGATGTTTGTCCTGTCCCTTCCTGGGAATCTCTGCCAGGTGGCTCCAGGGTGGGACACCCAGGATGGGACACCAAGGGTAGGAAATTTGAGCAGAAATGGAGCAGGGAGCTGGGATGAGGTGCCCAAAATCCATAGGAAAGCCACCAGGATGTGTCCTGTCCTTTCCTAAGAACCTCTGGCAGGAGGCTCCAGGGTGGGACAGCCAGGAGGGGACACCAAGGAGGGGACATCCAGGAGGGGACACCCAAGCAGAAAGAGGTGTCCAAAGTCCATAGGAAAGCCATCAAGATGTTTGTCCTGTCCCTTCCTGGGAATCTCTACCAGGTGGCTCCAGGGGACTGGGGGACACTCCAGGAGTGGGACACCAAGGATGGGACACTCAGGAGGGGACATCCCAGGTGACACCAGGATGGGACACCTATGAGCAGAAATGGAGCAGGGAACTGGGATGAGGTGCCCAAAATCCATAGGAAAGCCACCAGGATGTGTCCTGTCCCTTCCTAAGAACCTCTGGCAGGAGGCTCCAGGATGGGACACCCAGGATGGGATATCCTGGAGGAGACATCCAGGAGGGGACACCCAAGCAGAAAGAGGTGCCCAAAATCCATAGGAAAGCCATCAAGATGTTTGCCCTGTCCCTTCCTGGGAACCTCTGCCAGGTGGCTCCAGGATGGGACACCCAGGATGGGACACCAAGGATGGGACATCCAGGAGGGGACATCCAGGAGGGGACACCCAGGGTGGGACAGCCAGGAGGGGACACCCAGGAGGGGACACCCAAGCAGAAAGAGGTGTCCAAAGTCCATAGGAAAGCCACCAAGATGTCCATCAAGGTGTCCTGTCCCTTCCTGGGAACCTCTGCCAGGTGGCTCCAGGATGGAACATCCAGGAGGGGACACCAAGGATGGGATATCCTGGAGGAGACATCCAGGAGGGGACACCTAAGCAGAAAGAGGTGCCCCAAATCCATAGGAAAGCCATCAAGATGTTTGTCCTGTCCCTTCCTAAGAACCTCTGGCAGGAGGCTCCAGGATGGGACTTCCAGGATGGGACACCAAGGGTGGGAAATCTGAGCAGAAATGGAGCAGGGAGCTGGGATGAGGTGCCCAAAATCCATAGGAAAGCCACCAAGATGTCCATCAAGGTGTCCTGTCCCTTCCTGGGAATCTCTGCCAGGTGGCTCCAGGATGGGACACCCAGGATGGGATATCCTGGAGGGGACATCCAGGAAGGGACACCCAAGCAGAAAGAGGTGCCCAAAATCCATAGGAAAGCCATCAAGATGTTTGTCCTGTCCCTTCCTGGGAATCTCTGCCAGGTGGCTCCAGGATGGGACTTCCAGGATGGGATATCCTGGAGGGGACATCCAGGAAGGGACACCAAGGGTGGGACAGCCAGGAGGGGACACCCAAGCAGAAATAGGTGCCCAAAATCCATAGGAAAGCCATCAAGATGTTTGTCCTGTCCCTTCCTGGGAAATCTCTGCCAGGTGGCTCCAGGGTGGGACACCCAGGATGGGACACCAAGGGTGGGACATCTGAGCAGAAACAGGGCAGGGAGCTGGGATGAGGTGCCCAAAATCCATAGGAAAGCCACCAGGATGTGTCCTGTCCCTTCCTAAGAACCTCTGGCAGGAGGCTCCAGGATGGGACACCCAGGAGGGGATATCCAGGAGGGGACACCCAGGGTGGGACAGCCAGGAGGGGACACCCAGGGTGGGACACCCAAGCAGAAAGAGGTGCCCAAAATCCATAGGAAAGCCATCAAGATGTTTGTCCTGTCCCTTCCTGGGAACCTCTGCCAGGTGGCTCCAGGATGGGACATCCAGGATGGGACACCAAGGGTGGGACATCCAGGAGCGGACAACCAGGGCAGGGACACTGCAGAAAGAGGTGCCCAAAATCCATAGGAAAGCCATCAAGATGTTTGTCCTGTCCCTTCCTGGGAACCTCTGCCAGGTGGCTCCAGGATGGGACTTCCAGGATGGGATATCCTGGAGGGGACACCCAGGAGAGGACACCCAAGCAGAAAGAGGTGCCCAAAATCCATAGGAAAGCCATCAAGATGTTTGTCCTGTCCCTTCCTGGGAATCTCTGCCAGGTGGCTCCAGGATGGGACACCCAGGATGGGACATCCAAGGAGGGAGACATCCAGGAGGAACACACAAGCAGAAATGAGGTGCCCAAAATCCATAGGAAAGCCACCAGGATGTGTCCTGCCCCTTCCTAAGAATCTCTGGCAGGTGGCTCCAGGATGGGACAGCCAGGAGGGGACACCAAGGGTGGGACACCCAAGCAAAAAGAGGTGCCCAAAATCCATAGGAAAGCCATCAAGATGTTTGTCCTGTCCCTTCCTGGGAACTTCTGCCAGGTGGCTCCAGGATGGAGACATCCAGGAGGGGACACCCAGGGTGGGACAGCC